ACTGTTGGTGGCTCAAAATCTGTTTTTCCATTCCACCTATATATAATTTCGATATTAATGAAGTTCTACCAAGAGCTGGATCCTCTTTAGAAACTTTTTGGATGATTTTTAACTCCAAGAAGAACTTGAATTTCGCATATTTGGATCGATAAGTCATGATTTCTTCTCAGAAAATAATCAGGACCTCTAAATTAATTGTCAAATACAAATTTAGTTCAACTGCTAACTATTTGAGAAGACAAAAGAATACCCTGAGGCTCAAATATTATTTTGGGTAAAATCAACTTTTGAACTAGTGAATATCTATCACATGATTTTGAATTCTCATTTAGATAACAATCCCGCATGCAACGCTAATCTACCTGCGGCTAGTTTATTTATTTATATCAAATGGCAGGCCTTATGATAGTTATCATTAGCCCTTTAGTTGACTTCAGACTTCACAGAGAGATAGGAACATCAAAGCAAAAAAAAGTCGAGAGGGGGGAACAGAAGAGTATTTTAAAGATGTAAAAGAGACAGATACAAAGGTAGATGAAAGGTGAGGTGAGTACCGTAGAAGTGGTCGAATAAGGCATACAGTGGGGTCATGGTAGTTTGAAGTCAGAAGTCAACTGCCGGTTTATAGACTTTTTTGCCTCATGGGCATACGTTGCCCAGGGCGAACCCCGTGGAAGTAAGTCTATTCCACACCCCGCGGCAAGTTTATAAACAAGCTTTTATGCGGATTTTATTTTTACAATAAAGAAATACTCCATTGAAGTTTAGATAAGCCGTATCATATGGACAAATTGGGCTGATCAACGTAAACAAGCCATGGAGTTTGGGTAGGACCAGAAGGTCCCATTCACTAGAATGCAAATTAAGAAGTAAAGAAGGGAGTAATCAGCTTGTTTTACTTATTATGGAGGTCTTGTTCAAGACTTGGAGTGACTAACCAATTTGAAAAAAGTGGTAAATGGCAGGGAATTCTCAAGGATTGGTGCTGTAATCAGATTATTTTCTTTCCCGTAAATGGGTCATTTAAAAACGTAATTTAAGGTCATTGTAACTCTACCTAATAGGAAAGCAATAAAGGTGTAAATTTTATCAATTACCGCACAGATTTTCGAAATAATATATATTTAAATAAACTTCACAGCTGTAACTACTTCAAACAAAAATTATTACCTTTAATTTCTTTCCCACCATAGTGCTAACCGATTAATCAGTTTAATTAAGATAGACACCAACAACAGAATAACTCCGATCTTCTCACAGCTAACTGTAATTATTATGAAATACACAGCATAATCAGGAGTTACCGCGTGTGGGGAAAAGTGATTATTAAGTACATTTCAATTTATTATGATAAAACTTGGAAATATTTGCCGGTCAACTCCTGATAACAGAAAAAATACTTCAATTATTGTACAAAATATAAACATTTAAATTTGCCATAGAATTCAAACGTTTTTGAAAGTAGAGATCGAAAATAAACCTAATATGTCAATAATTGTCAAAGCATCAGTTTATTTCAAAATGGGAGCGTCAGTCAATATTTTTTCCCAATTACCATAACTTTATTTTCATTTTCGTGCACTCAATACCTATTTGAAGATTATTTGATTTCGTGCCATTTAATTTCTTGTCAAATATCAACGCAATATAACGCAAAATTAGGATCGAGATTAATCGAACGTATGAAAGAAACGAATTATCATAACTGGGTGAGAGGAGTAGGGGCAAAATAAATTCCCCTGAGGCATTTTATAATTTTGCTTCTGACATTTCGTTCTTCATCATGTTCGGTGTGGGAAAGTTTGCATATAACATAGGAATAATGTCATCGACAAAAGTAAAATGTATCTGACGTACCCTCTTCGAATCCGCTGACGTCAACCACCTGAAGTTCACTACTTTTTTGCCTTGAGAGAATTCCGATAATAAGAGCATCCAGGAGACTAGGACCTTTTAAGATAGTGTTAGTCATGGGATCCAGAGAGTCGGAAGTCGTGGTGACAAAAACGGGTTTTGTGAGATAGCCTCTCGTTAATGGAAAGTCCTCTTTGGGTAAGACTCGCCTTACATTCAAGTAAGTACCGGGCCAGTTGGCAATAATACCGGAGATGGCTGCACAGTCTCGTTGTACAATAGCCTCAGTTAAAATTTTCTCGAATAAGTTAATTGAAAGATGCTTATGCTCAAACCATGGAGCCGATAGACTGTCTTTTAGAAAGGGACAAATGTCTGAAGGGGCATCAGACCTCTGCTGGCTCCTTGTCGGCAGATTACAGGGCCAGTCCCGTATCATGTAAGCTATACAAATTTCTGTCAATGTCCTGAAATGGTAAGAAATCAATATATCGAAAGGCGTAAATAAGTGTTAATTATATTCTCGCGATGAGTTTAACCATATCAAATAATAAATAAGCTGATAAGGTCTCGAAACTTGGGCTTTTAAATCTCCTTCTTTCACATTTCAATTCATTAATGACCAAAACTTAGAGACAACGAACCAATCAGCATATCCGCAGATATCAACCATTCTTTGAAGATTGGCTTTTTATAACAGTATTTGGCTAGTTTCGCCAATATTTAGGTGAGCCAAATAACGACAAAATTTAGTAGTTGACATACTGAAAAATTTTATTAAACGTTGTTTGAATAATTCAGGTGAATATATCCCACTGCCGTTACTTATATTATCATCCAGGAACCTGTTAGCTATAATCGACCATCGGAACGGTAAAGCGAGCGGGTTTATAATTAATTGATTTGAGCTTATAAAATGAATTTATTAAGTTAACTTTAAAGACCCAGCCCCACCAACCATTATTCTCGAATTTAACGCAAAAATTCTCCAATGCCACATCTATGCAGTCTTGAATAATTTACTGATTAATCATAGCAAGGGAATTAAAAAATGAATGATAATACTAATAGTAATTTGTTGTGAAAACGGTTTAGAAGGCATGCCCTGCACAAAACGTTTTCGATCAACTTTGCTGTGCTGGACGGTTTAGTTATCGAATTTTGTGACAGAGAAACGTTCATTTCCCATGACAAATTATTAAAATAAAATTATAGTATGATGCCCAGTAAATTTTCACGGATCTAGTGGCAGGGAAAAGGTAGAAAATGACCAAATCTGTCGATTAAATCGATGTCAAACTAAAATGATAAATATAACTACCATATTGTTGTCATTTTTTATGAAATGTGACAAATCGCATGCTCTAGTACACAAATCACTTTATCTTATTTAAAAGTTGTTCATTTTGTGCCAGTTTTAAATTATAAGACAAAGCAAATAATTTAGCTTTATTTTACCTGGGAGTGCAGCAAATTGGGTTTAATTCCGAATTCCACTGAATTACACCCGTATTTGGATCTCTTTGAAGTTGGTAGCGGCAATGAACAAAGGGATACCAGACAGAAGCAAATTCGGGTCTTTGCATTCGAACCCATGACGCATATGTCGGAGCCTGTCTAGGTGGATAAACATCATTTACCGTATTTGTTCTTCGCACACTAGCTCTTTCAGCTGGGCTCGTTATCCTCCTATCACTCTTTCCGAATTTTCTACTACGATACTCACAAGTAGCAAGCGTTGTAGCTCTCCTAAATCTAAGAGCATTTCTCTCCAATCGACGCTTGGTATGCGTGACTTGGCCATGCTGTGGTGATGTGCACTCGCTTTCATCACTCTCCTTCCAGGTATAGTCAATCAGAGTTAAACAACCATGCATCCCAAAGTTGAATAAAGATCCTACCTTTGGAGGTATGTATCTTTATTCTTCAAGCGAATGTCTGATCTCCGATCAGATTGATGAGTATGTGCCATCCAGGTGGTTTTGCATGCACGGCTGGCCAGTAGGAAACAGGCAATTGGCCAATGGGTAATTTGCATGCTGCAAGAGCGGGAAGCAAATTTTGCGCAAAAGCAGCACGTTAGCAAACGACAGCATCAGCTGTGCACTTTTGGGTCTTATTAAATTCGTGCATTGACTGCTTTTTCTTTGGTGATCATGTGATCTCATTGGAAAAGGTGGCTTTGGAAGAAGGCAAGGCCCTAAGCCTCTCTCTCTCTCTTTGGATATGAGTGGGGAAAAATTTTAGGTTGTACCATTCCACCATGAGGATTAATTATTTACTAAAATGGCACATCGTATTCTTTACGGCTTATGCTCCAAGTTTCAACTTCCTCTGCTCGGTACAGTGAGTTCTGTAGAACTAAGTACTCACGTCTATAAGCACGGTTCATTAGGGTGAATGTCACCTCTTTTTGATGATTGATTAGTCTATTTTCTGTACTTATTACAGCGTTTATTTATTTAAATCTAGAATTCTTACAAATGGACAATATGCAGTAGAAATTATATATCTTTTAATAAAGAAATCACTGGAAAGTTATTCCCGTATGACGAAAAAAATGTTATCTTTGAAGTTTGACATTAGTACATTATTGTACCTTCAATAACTATTCTTTTTAACGTCTGTGAAAGACTTATAATTTATTTAATGCGTAATAAAAATGTGGGTCGAGCTTTCCATCTTCCTGCAAAAGACATACTTGAACCTAAAAACTTTTAACATCTACTATTTTTCCGTTCTTGGCATTTTAAACTAGGAAAACGGTTCCAGACTTACTCCTGTAAAATAAATAAATCAGCAAATTTAGAAAAAAATGAAATAATAATTTTTTTAAATACATTTGTCCAATATCTTATGTTCTATTAAAATATTAATCATAATACACTTCCCAAAAGTCTATTTGCAATAAATGAAATTGTAAGTACAGTAACCTTGAAAATAAACCTTTGAACAAATTGATTTATTTTGTAAATCCCTGATCCATTTCCTTTGGCTCGCACTATAACTCTAAATACAACGTCTTGTCAAAATCATAGATCACACCTTCGATAAACCGAAGTTAATCCGTCAATAAATCAGTTAGACAAATCAAAGATGGAATATCAAGCCGGTTTCAGCTTTTGACAACTTAACACTGAAACCAGGCTAATGAAAGTTTTTATTTATATCAAATAGCAGGCTTTATGATAGTCATCAGCAGTCCTTTAGTTGACTTCGAGCTTCACAGAGGGGAGAAATATCAAAGTCATTAAAAGTCGACAGGAGGGGACAGAAGAGTGATTCACATATGCAAAAGAGACAGGCACAAAGGTAGAGAAAGGGTAAGGTGAGTATCGTGAAAGTGGTCGTATATGACATACAGTGTGACCGTGGTAGTTTGAAGTTAGAAGTCAACTGCCGGTTACAACCTTAAAAAGTAGTGGGGCGCAATTTTCAGCAAGTGGAAAAAAGAGAAGCTTGGATATGTTGAATGTTCAACACACTCCTGAGGGTGGAAGATGTCATTGTGTCCAGATGGACTTTCATTCAGACTTCCTTGAGCATTCTCTTATCCACTTGCTAATATTTTTATTCGTTTAATGACCTTATTATCTTTTCCGGCCATCTTGTCCTGCCCATTAGTCGAATAATGATAAATCCACACTTGAAGCATGATTCAAAAGATATACGACCGGATAATAAAAATTCTTGCGCTGTTCTCATTGTCTGGTTTCGACATCATTTAATCTAGTAATAGGATAAATTAGAAATTGAATTGAAAATTTATTTTAAACATTCAAAATTGAGGGTTGTAACCTCTTATTTTACATTTTAGCCTATTAAAAATAGGCCTAATTTTCTAATGCCATCAATGACGAGACTGACTATTTGAAAATGTGTGAACACATTTATATTCTTTGTTATTACACCGGAAAAATCCGAACAGTAGTTTGGGGAACAACATTCCCTAAACAAAAACAGGAACAAAACAATTGAAAAAATGCGTACAAGGCTCGAATGTTTTTCCTGCGTCCAAGCAGTAAGATAGTATTTTGGAGGGGAAGTTCAATCCCTTCCTACATCCCATAGCATTTAACTTGTTATATCAGCAGCTGTCAGTGGAAGGCCACACGAAATGGGGAAACAATACGAACTATCGTTTGCACGAAGGGGTGTGCGATAGACTTACCTCCAGCCTGAGCAACGTATATTCAAACGGCAAAAAGTCTATTGACTGGCAGTTGACTTCTCACTTCAAACTACCATCACCT